GGTTTTATCACCACGCAAACATACACACACATATATATACAGACGGACCCAAAAAAAATTTCAAACGGTGGCACCATATAATTAATATAATATAATATAGATCCAAAAATAATTACAAAAAATATGGTTTTTATAGGAACGATAAACAACTCTTAAACTTGTACCGGACGCGTCTTCATCTTTTGAAAACGGTCAATATATACCCAAAATAATTACAAAAAGTATAGTTTTTATAGAATTGAGAAACAACTCCTAAATTTGTCTCGGCGTGTCTTCATCTTTTGGAAATGATCTATGAAATCTTCATTTTTAACATTATTATGTGATTCTTTTTCTATGGCACAAATGAGAGCATAATTCAAAAAGTCATCACCAATTCGATTACGTAAATGGCTAGATCTGAAAAGTGAAAACAAAGACCAGAGTCACCAAATAGCCATGTAGCAAGTGAGAATCGTTCGAGAATCGCCACTTGAGAGTTGAGAATAGTTCGAGTCTTCGAGCCAATTATTGTCACTCACTCACTGTTGTCTGGTCTGGACTTGCTTGCCGACTTGGGTCTGTTCCTGTTTGTTCTCGTAATCTCGTTGGTTGGTTGCTAAGTTTTAATTGGTCTTTGCATATCAGGCTTTTGATTTGGCCATTTGGGCTTTGTTTTATTTGGGTTTCAGTTGCACGATTTGGGTTTCAGGAAAATATGATAGCACATTCTAAAACGATATGGTTGTACCGTTCATAAACCTAAATTTTTTTTCCTTCGGCGGAGAAATAATACGATCGCACGTGCCACCTAAACCACCCAGCTAGGTCCGTCCATGTATACATAGGGAGGATCATGCGAAAATCAAACTAATTTGTCAGAAGGCGAGAAGGAATATGTGTCACATACCTTAATCAATAAATTAATTAATATTTAGACTAAACCCAAAATAATAGTAGTCTATGTTGGCTCATAGGTAGCCGATGGAATACGATGGAATTGAAATGACATGTTACATATGGATTAATATTTGGTTCGCTTTTTGAATTTTAGTATGAAATTTCTATTCCAACATATGACAGAATTTAAATTCCTTGGGTGTTGGTAAAAATTACAACTCATATTCATTTAAAGAGATTGTTTCTCCCTTATACTTGATCGGATCCATTTCATCCCAGTACGACAATTGTCACCACTTCCCACCGCCATTGTTTCTGCCACCACGACCACCATATTTTCTCTGCCACAACCACCAACACCACCACAACAATCGTTACCTCTTTCGTCTCCACCACCATCGATCACTACCATCACCATTGTCGCCACCACTACCACCATCATCACCACTATTGCCTCTAAAAACACAACTACCGCCCTGCCACCAACATCGTCCCCGCCAAATACCACCACAATTATCGTCACATCAGCCAGTATCGCCACCATCACCGTCCCACCACCATAATCACCACCTTATATTCATGATACCACTACCACCCGCGTCTCCACCTCGAACGGTAACATGCCACCACCACAACCATCACCATTGCTACCACTGCAACCTCCCATCACCACATCATCATGGTCGTTGTTGCTCCACCACAAACTAATATTATTATTTAATTCTATCAAAATATAGTATCTATAAGTTAAGCTATAAAATATGAAAATGTCATAAAGGTGTACTTTAGTCATTTATCATTCTTTTATCAATATATTTCGAAATTATATTTAGCAAAGCAAAACTGATAAATTCTAATTTTTTGAAAAATTTCATTCCATTTTCTACCAACCATGAGCGTGGTCAAATGTGATTAGGTTTCATTCAATGCTTTCATATTCCCATGATATATTACATTATGTGAACCAAGAAACACCTTAGGGTATAGATGAAACTTGTCCTTTTGCAAGTTAGGTGCCGTTTATCAAACACTTACCCGGGTAAGCGCTTACCAAGTCACTTTATTTTTTCGGATGAATATGGCAAGGACTAAAAATCTTACCCGGTAAGAGCGAAGACAAGAATCGAGAATCTTACCCGGTAAGTGAGGACGAGTACTCTTACCATGATTAGCACTTACCGAGATAAATTGTTGCATACGATGCATTTTAGTGAATAAAATCTAATTACCCGATAAGTACGCGATATTGTTGAATTTAACGGAAAGTGTTTAGGTAAAAACGGCCCGTTACATGGGAGTTCAAAGTTCAAGGAGAGATGCCTATAAGAGTAGTTAATACGTCATTTATTAGGAGAAAGTTTCTTAATTCACTAAAAAACAATCATTTAATATAAACTTTTATTCATTTTAGGTTTACAATTAATATCCAAATTAGTTTTTCAATTTTCCGCTTATATACTAGATACTCTATTTCTATATTTGTATCCATATTTATGTATATACATAAATGCATGTGTGTTAAATGTTTGATAAATCTCTTGAGTTGAAAACCGTCTAACAAAGCAACAAGTAGAACAAGATAATGACATTCCATGTGATTCCAACTCTCCTACTTTAGAGAATGTTTTATTGTAAATAATGGACTCTTTAGTAATAGTAAAACTACAGGAAGTTCATAATAAAAATACGTGTGTTTCATTTGCTTATAGACGTCTAATTATTTATGTCTCAAACAATAAAAATGTCGTGCAAACGATTAAGTAATGACATGTCTGTTTTGCTATATCAGGAAGTAGATTAAATTTTTCATCTCTTGTCTACACTTTATTGCAATAGGTACTTATCTCTTCAGTGTACTCCAACCCCAATTTACTAGCTCGTGAGGTCGAGCTATCTCCTTTGCAACAACACGATTTACAAATTCTATTCGAAAGATTTTTGGATCCTTTCGCGATCCTACTCAACTGCGGCCATGCCGTGCTCATGAGCATGGAATTTCCCTAGTGTCACCTCACTCTCCGATTTCTGCTCGCCTATATTGGTATCGTCATATTCAAAAGGTGAAAATCGAAAAACATGTTCAGAAACTCCTCGCTTTAGGGATGATTCGGTCTAGTAAAAGCACTTTTTCGAGCCTCGTTATTTTAGTTTGGAAAAAGTGACCAATGTTGGCGTATGTATGTTAATTATCGAGCCCGTAACAAAGCCGTTGTTCAAGATAAATTCCCAATTCCGGTGGTGGAGGAATTCATCGACGAACTAAAAGGCGCACAATTTTTTTTTTCTAAGTTGGATCTGAAGTCCGGATACAATCAAATCCGCATGCAACCCGATGGTATCGAAAAGACAGTGTTTTGCACCCACGGTGGCACTATGAATATTTGGTTATGTTGTTTGGGCTCACCAATGCTCCGACGACTTTTCAGGTGGTTATGGATGACATTCTTCGGCCTTTCTTGCATAAATATATCATGGTGTTTTCGAAGATATCCTGATATATAGCTCGTCTAGGTCAAAACATATAGATGATTTTGGCACAATTCTACATGTTTTGTTGGAGAACAAATTCGTAGTGAATCGCAAAAAATGTTCCTTTGGCCAATGTTCGTTTGGCCATCTGTCGAATATTTAGGCCATAGATTACAATGAATTATGTCCCTATGTCAATTTCAAGTTCTGCAAGACATTGTTTTTGGAAAATTGTTTGAACGTTTTGAGTAAAGAACTTATGAAATGAGTTTAATTACTAATTCAGGTTGTAATTACTATGTATTTGCTTGATAGCAAATTGATTTAATAGATTTAATAATTTCGCATGAATTGGTTAATTTAGCAATTTATGTAGTTTCACTAGAAAAAACCTCCACCTCATTTCACTCCAGTTCGAATAAGCATTGAAACGGGGAACCCGGGCCACCTGCCCGGTCGGGGATGGGGATTCCCCGCTAAATTAGGGATGGGGACAGGGATCCCCGTTTGTCTCAAACTGGGGATGAGAATGGGGACAGGTAGCGTACTCCCCGCCCCGCCCCGCCCTTACGCGTTACATATATTAATTAATATATTATATATAATATATATTTATACATATATATGTATATTATTTATTTCAACTAAAGCAGTAATTCATAATTTCATATTTTCTACCTAGGTTTGTAATCTAAAATTGTTGTTTTTTGGATGTTAATTGATGTTTAATTCTTATACGATGTTGTAGTCTTTTTGTATTAAATTAAATTCATTTTGGTTTTAGGTTTATTGAAAATGTTTGAGATTTAAACATGCATGATCTCTCACATATTTAATTAAAAATAACTTACATAAACGGGAATAAAAATCCCCGTTTCCCGTTGGGGATGGGGATGTGATTATATTCCCCGGCGGGGATGAGGACGACAGTAATAAACGTTGTTTTGAACATCGAGTGGGTATTTGCATAATAGCAAATTCATTAACAGATCATTCGATATTTTCCAATGAATTGGCTTATTTAGAAATATATGTAGTTCCCCACTTCCCCTAGACAAAAACCTTCCACCTCATTTCCCTACAATTCGAGCACTCACACCTTAATTAAAGATAGTTCATAGACCAAATATGAATAAATAATTCAATAGAACCTTTGGCTTAGTCCCAATATTAGCATAATGATCAGTTGGTGCCGGGAAGCGAGTTACGTAGAATTGGTGACCATTGATAATTTGTTTAGAAATATTAGTATAAATGAGAAAGACAATGAGAGAACCTTGCAAAATAGAGTGTATATAAGAGGTCCATAACTAAGTCTGCTTCTTGATCTCACAAACAGACCTGTAATAGGGTTATTCGTTGTGTTCATTTCTCTGGTGTAAAAATGTTTCGTACACCAATGCCAATATTAATTAAGACTTTTATAGGTTGTGTTCATTTCTCTTTTGTAAATGAACATTGCTGCTTATTTTTGACATCTTTTAAATAATGTCATAAAAATATAATAGCTAAAACAACTGTGAAGACGTCAAAAAAACTCGGTATAAACTTATCGCAACATATTTACAAAGAGCACACGGTAGTTTGTCCCTACAAACCTGTCCAACATATAAAACAGTCAATTAGAATTAACAATTAAAAAATTTGGCATCCTAAAAATCCAATTTTGTTGTTGTGCAACTTGTAAACACAATATGGTAACTTACCCTCACTGATTGTGTAACTACTATGCTCTCTCTTTTGCTCATTATGGCACCTCCCTTTGTAGCTTTCACACCCTCTATCCCTTCCTTAATCTTTTTTTTTTATTTACAGTTGTTAAGGATGAATTAATTAGGAGGTCTTTGCATAATATATATCCTGAACAGACCAGGAGTTGTTCTATAATTTCTTGAACAAACCCGATGTGAGTCCAAACCTCTCACAATTCATCAATGATTCTGAAAATACATGAGACTCCTTGTCACCTTATATGAAAGATGGACCCTTGACGTGGTGTTGTGAACCAAATTTTCCCAAAGAAGCAACTTGACCTCTGATACTCGGACAGATAAACTGTATAGAGGACACGGAATTTAAATCTTTAGCATGCTCACAGAAGCACTGAAGACCGCCACTCTCTGTTTAATGTTTTCTTGATGAGCATTAGCAACTTTTTCCAGCATCCACTTCAAAACTGAAGATAGGGAAGAATCTTGAACTAAAAGATCGCCAATAAGATCTCAATAAACCATATTATCACTCGTTATATGCTGAAGCACACTTAAACTCCCCATGCCAAGACATTCATCAGAATTGCTGCCAAGAGCCATTTGATTAGGAGGGATGATATCGGGAAGCATCTTCAGAATGTTGTTATACTCATCATGATTCAAATCAGTGTAGAATCAATAACATCATATTCATAATTTGAGGGTTTGTGGTCTGCCCTATAGAACTATTGAACCACATTGAGTAGGGCATGTCGAGCAACTGCACCTTCTAACAGTAAAAACAGGTCCAACATCGCTGTATCTGACCCCTCGAGCATAAAAAGTGAGGCAGTCGTTAAAAACAGTACCTTACCCTCGTTGATTGTGTAACTACCATACAGTCTACACAAAACTGATGAACACAATCATTAAACATTTTTGTTTTTGGTAGCATCCGTACATCATATCAAAGACATTAAGACTTATATGATTGTAACTAGTTTTCAATTAAAAAACAGTCATAATGTCTTGATAGGATGTAGGGATCCTCCAGAAAACGAAAACGTTTAACGATTGCCTTCATCAATTCTGTGGAGACTGCGTAGATAGATCAATGAGCATGAGGTACATGATCATCACTTCAAACAGCAGTTCAGGAAATGTGTCTGCTTTACTGCTGAACACCCCTCTTCATAGGTCTTTTTAAGCATATCATCCACTGCAGGTTAAACAAACCAAGGTCAGTTATAAAGCTGGTTTGGTTTACATTAAAATAAACTACAAATCAGATGATGGTGCATATAGGTCTAGCTATGTGTGTAAACTGGGTGTTGATATATTAACGATATATTAATATTGCAGAGCATGTGATAAATCAGAAGAGTTATCTTTCAGACATGCTGCAAGACGAAAATCTGGGTGAAATACAGGTCTCTGTGGAGGTGTGCAAAGCAAATGCAAGTTTGATTCATGGAACATGAGAAGGATTTCCCATTCCTTCTCCAGAAAGATATAAATATTTTTCAAACCCTTCGTTCTCACAGATTTGACCCATTATCCAAAATTCAGTCACAACAACACTAGAGACTGCTTCCAAATATATAAACCAACACAAATGGGTTTTTTCTAACACTACTGGTCAATGCTTCAAGGCAGACCTCCTAACATATTTTTACCTGTTTCCACCATAACTTACAGTTAGACCAAACTATGTGACCTAAGCATTATTTAGAGAGCTTCTGAAAAGATCTGACCTATTCCAACTGTGACACGGAATGGCGCCAACATCTTGAAGTATATGAGGTGCAGAAGCAACATGAATTGTCAAATGTAGAACCTTGCGAAATGCTATGAACACTGACGTTGTAACAGAATCCATTCTTGTTTACCTCACCACAGGTATTAAACTGCAGCAAAAAATTTACATGTCTGAACAAGTTTGAACAAAAAGACATAAAAAACACTTGAAACTATGTGCATGGATTCACAAGAACAACTCATGTGGAAGATTCAAATTTTGATAGATTTTTGTATTTGCAAATCTAAACCAGATTTCCTTTTCTCTTTTAGATTTTAGATAACTAAAGCAGCAAAAATTTCAATATAACATTTTGGTGTTTGAATCTAAAAAAATAAATTCAAATCGATACAGAAATGAAATCTGCCATTGATTTTGAAAAGGACATGTGCTTAGATCGGGTATAAAACATTCAATCTTAAATCTATTCAAAGAATGGGAGAAAATCAAATGCAAACAACAAAAATTGTCTGATTCATAAGTCTAACGAGATCTTTTTGTAATTTAGATTTTGGTATTCTTTAATCACTGACATCAAAATAAAACCTTTTACTTCTTAACGATAGAAAATTATTTCCAGTAGATGTAGAAATCTCGCTTCATTTGTGCTAAAGAAAATTATATTAAAGCAAATAAAATTGATTGAAAAATGGAAGAACGTAATTCCAAGAAGATCATTATATATCCTAACGAAATCCACAGCAAAAAAATTAGCATGAATAAAATTCGCTTACAGTGAATGAGAGATATGAGTGAGAAGCGTTCGTTGGATGATAAGGATTCATGTCTTCATCCATGGCGGCAGCAAAGAATTCAATGTGGAAGTGAAATGTAGAGTACCGAAAGCGAGTATATATAGCCTAGATGTTACTGCGTCCATGAAATCAACCCTAATTTCATCATTGGATGCCATTTAATCCATTGGATCACGGTCCAACAGGCTTATTATTGGACTCAGCCAGAAAAGGCTACAAATTTCTATACATTTTTTTCTTAAAATAAATGTCATTGATTTTTAAAATTAAAAAATATATATATTTACATCTGAAATTTACATCCAACAAACACAAAATAAATAGTACACCAGATAACGAGTGTTCTCCTCCTCTTTTGGAGAATGTGCGTTTTGCTCATTCTTGAAGAACTTAACTGTTTTGAACACAAGATCATCCCAGATCATGTAGCCACATTTTCTTCAAAATGAATTTCAAGTTCTGTTCCTTCTTGAAGATTCTGTGTTATGCAAAATGTTCAAACGTTTTAGTAAAGAACTTATGAAATGATTTCAATTAACAATTCAGGCTGTAATTACTATGCATCTGCATAACATCAAGGTGTATAATAGATTGATGTTTTCGGATGAATCAGTTTACGGATCTATGTAGTTTCAGTAAAGAAAATACTTCCACCTCAATTCCCTCCAAGTCGAACGCTCACATTTTAATTAAAGATAGATCATGGGTAATATAGGAAAAAATTCAAAACTTTTCCCTTGGATGAAGAGTTTTAATCACTACCTCAAAATGTCACTTAGGCAACAAATGAAAAATGTTGCCTAAGAGGAGTTTATATGTTGCGTAAGGCTAAGGCAACAAACCCGTGTTG